AGCCGGTTTTTTCCTTCTACCAAGTGGGTTCCCGGGACTGAACTCAGGTTCTCAGGCTTGGTGGCAGGTGCCTTCACCTGCTGCAGCCCAGCCTTGAACTTCTGATCCTTCTGGCTTCAGGTGCCAGCTGCTAGGATTATAGACATGTGCCACCATATCCAATTTATTCAGTGCTAGTAACTGGAACCATGGCTTGGTGTATTCTCGGTAAGCATTCTACCTATTGGGCTACATACAGAGTACTATACAAACTGGCCTTTAAAATAGCACGCTTAGGAAAAAAGAAAATGAGAATGAAATGAATAAAATAATATCAGTTAGGTAAATTAAAAGAAAAGTGAAGATGGAGAGATGGCTCAATTGTTAAAAAGTACTTGTTCGTGTTGCAGAGTATCTGGGTTCCCTTTCCAGCACCTACAAGGTGGCTCACAAGCATCTGCAACTCCAGTTCCAGAGGATCCAACATCTCCTCCTGGCCTCCAGGGGGCACTGCATGAATGTGGAACATAGGCATGCTTGCAGGCAAAGCACCTATATACAAACTGTTTTAGTCAATGTTCTTTTGCTGTGAAGATTTACTGTGATCAGGCAATTCTTGTAAGAGAAAGCATTTAATTGTTGGTGGCTTTGGTTTCACAGGTTTAGTCCATTATCATCATGGTGGCCAGCCTCATCTAGAGAGCAAGTTCCAGGATAGTTAGGGATGCTACACAGAGAAACTGTATCACAAACACAAAGTCAGCTGCCAACACAGGAGTTAAAGGGGAGACACTGGGCACATCCAAGCTTGTTTTCTCGATGGTGGTGGGAAGCATGGCGAGGGAAGGGGAGGGTGGTCACTTGTTAAAGACACTGGCAGGAGAGCCCAAGGTGACAAGGGTCCCTAATGAAGGCCAGAAGAGGAAACAGAAACGAAGAGGTCTTTAAGAGTACTGACTGAGATGGGAGGATATCACCAAAGCTAGATGAACCAGAATGTGTAGACAAAGACTACAATGGTGAAGCCTTCACATTTCGGAGATGCACGCAACACCCTGCCCTGGTGTTCCGTTTTATTTTGAAAGATAGATGAAATGGTGCTGCCAACACTCGGGACAACAGGATCCTGTTAGACTGATAAGGGAGTGAGCGCTGGCAGACAGGATCAGCACTTTGCCTTTCAGATTGCAAAGCTGGAGCTCACAAACCCTTGAGTGGGGAGGCTGCAGCCTCTCGTTAGGGATGTCAACAAGACAGCCTTGTTTCAAGGCACCTACACAGCCTTCTGCCGCCACGAGAAAAGAAAGATGCAGGAGTCACAGTCGCACGTTAAATTCTCTCCGACTGTTATGAAACGAGGGAAAGAGAGCAGTTTGAATTAGCATCTTTGGTGTGGTGTGAAGACTGAAATAGCATTCTTCACCAACTAATTACTAAATATAACATTTTTGTAAAAAGGATTATTTTTTTCAGCTATTAAGATTCACAGTACAAATAGTTGAGAAAACCAACTAGAGAGATCTTAGTAGACGGGTGTTTGATTTTGATTCAGTCTTCTGCCGAATTTAATTCGAGAAAAATACCTGCTGTGTCCAAAGAAATTGTAGACTGCATAGCTAACCTCAGCTGTCAACTTTGTGAGCTCTAGAATCAGCTCTGAGCATATCTGTGGAGATTTATCTACATTAGGTTAAGTTGGGAAGACCCGCGTCACTATGAATGGCACCATTCCCTGGGATAGAATCCGAGGTATAGAAAGGAAGTGAGCTGAGTGAAGTAGATGCCACGTGACTGGCCGCCTCAGCAGCTACCACCATGACCTCACTGCCATGAACCTTACCCTCCAACTGTGGCCAAAATAAACGCTTTCTTCTTTAAGTTGCTTCTGTCAAGTGCTTTATCGTAGTGACAGAAGTGACAAAGACAGGCTGGCTCCTTTTCTTGTACCAATGCAAGTGCCAAGTCTTTGAAAAAAAAAAAAAGACTCTTGCCCACACAAGTCATTACTGACAGCTATCAGTACCTTTCACAGGCAAAGGTCTAGTGTAAGTCAACAACGTCTGCTTTGGGTTTTCCTGAGTTATAAAATATTACAAGAAAACTGATTATAGGCTTTAGTTGTAACTCTTCTTGAGAGTAAAAGAGAGTATTATTGCTTCTTTCACTGTTATGCACACACCTTTGAAAAAAAAAAAAAACTAGCCTGAGCCAGGCATTGTGATACACACGTTTAATCCCAGTGCTTTAGAGATAGATAGGGGGATCTCTGAGTTCAATGCCAGCTTGGTTTATAGAACAACTTCTAGGACAGCCTGGGCTGTCTTCGAGAGATCCTGTCTCAGAACTGGGAAAGTGAGATGGCTCAGCGGTTCAGCACTGTGTAAGTCTAATGACCTGAGCTTGAGCTCTGTAAACCACGTTCACTGCTGGGATGAAACACCATGACCAGACTACCTATGAAAGTTTATTTAGGCTTATGGTGCTTAGGCATGAGTCAGTCCATCGTGGTGGGGAGACAGGCATGGCTTCTAAGCAGCAAACGGAGGAGCTCACACCTTCAACCGTGAGCAAAAAGCAGAGAGCAAGCATTGAAGTGTTGGTTTTTTAAAGCATCAAAGCCCACTGTGAGTGGCATACTTCCTCCAGCAAGGCCACACGCTCCTAAACATACCCCAACAGTCACCAAGTAAGGAATGTGTATTGCAAAGTCTGAGCCTCCATACAGAGTGAGGGGTGGCGCTCTCATTTAAACCCACACTATGTAAAGGTGGAGGAAAGGACTGACTCAAAATCGTCCTTTGATCTTCAGACAGGTGCAGTAGAACCTGCACCGACGTGCACACATCACACAAGCACTATATTGAAAATTTTAAATATACTCTCGGGGGCTTCAAAAGCTTTTAGGATACCAAAATCTAAGAACACTGAATTCTGGTCACCTCTGAAAAAATTAGCTACAGTTAATAATATATAAATAAAATTTACATATAAAACATACCTCCCTCAATTGAAGTAGCAAATAGCAAACCAAACCAAGGACAGGAAAGAGCAGTGGGGGAGGAAGAATATAGTATTCATTTTCACTTTCCAGACAGCAGAGAAGGTTCTCTTGTGGGCATCACACTGGCTTAGGTAAGTTAGCCTGGACAACTGTGCCCAGAGGCTAGCCTCCCTACAATACCTTCCTACCATGGCCTTGCTTTAAAATGTTTCTCTACTTTCCATACTTTTCTTCATGTGGGAAGCAAGAGTTCATCGTGAACCTCACAGTGCTCTAATGTGTGAGTAGTGAAGTAACCTTCATATTGCTATAGAGCATGAGAACAAGATCCCCAAAGCAGAGAACTAGAACAAGTAAGTACCCCAAGAGGTGCCATGGGGTACTGCAGTAAGGCAGCAAAGATGACAGAAAGCACAACTTGCTAAGTAGAAAGATGGTTTTCTGAAAGTGAAATTTCCAAAGTAGTTTGGGTACAACTTTTAAGAATGAAGTCTGTTGGTGTCTTAGTCAGTGTTCTATTGCTGTGAAGACACCATGACCACAGCAACTCTTACAATGAAAACATCTAATTGAAGTGGCTCGCCTAGTTTCTGAGGTTCAGTCCATTATCATGATGGGGTGCAGGTGCTGGAGCTGAGGGTGCTACATTTTGCAGGCAACAGCAAGTTAACTGACACACATATAACTCAGGTGGTAACCTGAGTATATGAAACCTCAAAGTCAGCCCACAGTGACACACTTCCTCCAACAAGGCCATACCCACACCTCCCAATAGTGACACTTCCTGGGATTATGAGATCCAATTACATTCAAACTACCACAGGTGGGAACCATGAGAAGCAGGTATCTAGACTAGTGGTGTGGCTCAATTGGCAGAGTGCTTCTGCAGGACACTAGGCTCTTGGTTCAACACCCAGTATCATGTAAACATAATGGAGGCACACCTCTGCAACTGGACTTCCAAAAGTAGATTTTCAAAATGTTCTCACAGTATACTGCAAACCAGAGTATGCGGGTGGTGGTTTGAATGAGCCATTTCCCCGCACATGCTTATGTATGTGAACACTTGGTCCAGAGGAGGCTATCTAGAGAGGTTACAGAACTTAGAGGCTTACAGGAAGAAGCATGTCAGTGAACTTTCAGAGTGTACAGCCTCACACCACTTCCAATGCTTTTTTGCTATGTGGTTGAAGTACGATCAGTCTGCTGGGTGGTGGTGTCCCACACCTTTAATCCCAGTACTCAGGAGGCAGAGGCAAGTGGATCTCTTGAATTCAAAGTCAGTCTGGTAGGAGCGAGTTCCAGGACAGCTAGGGCTACAGAGAAAGACTGTTTAAAAAACAAACAAGTAAGGGAGGGGAGAAGGACCACACAAGCTTCCTGCTTCTACCACCACGCCTTCCTGTATGACTTATCCCTCAGGAACTGTAAGACAAAATAAATTCTTAGGTTGCTTCTGGCCACGGCATATTATCATAGCAACAGAACAGCAGCACAATCAGAAACTTAAATTGCCCCAAACATAGGCTTACATACCTTTTTAAAGGAAAACAAAATTACGCACAAACGTGGGTGCATGGGTCTGAAGGAGGAAGCCAGGAGTCCTGTCATGTTTCACCTGTTCCTTTGAGACAGTCTTTCCTTGAACCTAGGCTCACATATCCTTGGCTAGGCTGGGAGTCAGCAAGCCCTAATGACCATGTGTCCATGCCCTGGGAGCTGGGGTCCAGGTGTGTGTGGAGCACCTGGATTGCTGGTGTCCTGGGATCCAAACTCCAAGCCTGATGATTGCTCAGTAATTAACTGCTCTCCGAAGCAGACGGCTCCCGGCTCTTCGGGCCTTATGGTAACTCTGGAAAGCCCTTGTTTCTTCTCTGGTTTTAGGGAGTGAAACTAAGACAGTGAGTGTACTTGCTAGGCAAACACTCATCACTAAACTGCAATCCTTTAAAGTCTTGTATTTCCATATATTCTACAAGAGACAATCACCAAATTGAGTATGAATAACACGGACACATTATAGTTAGAACTCAACTTTATTGTTACAACCAATGCTTATTTACAGAATATAAATCTCTTCAAAAAGATACATTCCTTCATTTAATCAATGGTAGAAAGCCTTATTAAACAGAAATAAAGCCTAAGCCGCACTTGTATCTTAACAGAAACACGGCTTCGTTGCAAGTCCATGAACACAGAACACAAATGTCACTTCAGCAGCTACATGAATGAGGCTGTTGATTTCACTGGCGATGCCATTTTAGCCACGAAACAAATCTTACTTAAATTAACAGTAGTAAAACTTAAATTTCAAACATAAAAATATGTAACAACAAAGGAAAAAGCAGGAAGTATCTCCGCTAGCAAACAGATGAGCAAGTTCTCCGGCACTCAGACACTGGCTGAGGCGTAGGGAAACCTAGGACAAAGGCTGCATTCATCTGCGAGGTATCGATGCATGTTCAGTGCTGAGACTATCCGTAGCACTTACAGTCCATACAAAGCAGCATTAGACTACAATTCACATTTGAGAAACACAAATTTCAGATCTATGCCACAGCTTCCCAATTCAACAGACAGCTAACGCAATGACAGTTCTCATTTCAGTTTTTCCCCTTGCATATAGGTAACACCATGTCTTCTTCCTTCAATTAGGATGTTTGACCTTGCTGTACAAAAGCTCCTAAATACAGAAACGTTCTTGTGGGTTCCATTAGTTTACAGTTACTTTAGTACAGGTAAATACAGAGGACAACTTTAGATTATTGACAATGAACACTCAGTTTGTCACTACCTACAAACAAGCAGCAGCATGCCACAGTGCAGGCATGGCGAGCAGGTACTCTGTTCCCTCCACTGCTCTGCAGGTGTCAGTGGGTTTCAACCCAGCTCTCTAAGATCCTGGCTAGGAAGCCTGTAATTCCAATCCACTAGGTTTTCCTGCTCTACTTTCACACACCAATCAAAAGACAAGGTGATGTTTCAGTTCTGTAAGCATCTAGTGTTTTATTAACGTATTAATCGGCTCAAAATTATCACAGTGGGCAAGATAACTAAAAGGTAAAACTGTAACTATTTGAAGAAGTATTTTTGCAAGTACACACGCCATACAATGCACAATGGACAAAGGTGGTGTTGGTGGTACCACAGCGCACAGTCCAGGAGAGTAGCCTCCAACACACAACTTTAAAGTGCTTATGAGTGAAGCATCAGTATTTGTTTCTAATCCAAACACTTTGGGGTCTCTTCCCATATCAAATTGTGCCAAAATTGAAAAAATTTCAGCATAAAAACTACTCAAATAAATCTAACTCATTTAACATATCACTGAATTTAGTCTTCAAGAATTCAAGGTAATACAAAAACCTCAAGTATTTTCTTTTACAGAAATACGGGCTGAAGTTCCAAAAACAGGGATGTTTTATCTGGAGTAGCTAGTAGCACTTGTCAAACCCAAGATTTAACACTGCCGTCACTCCAGGGAAAGGCAGCTCGCCATGCCTCATCTTGCCTTTCACAACAGAAACATGACTGAAGATGCAGCTCAGCTTCACAGTAAAGGCCATCATGACATCTGACAGAGAAGACAGACCACAGCACCTGGCCCTGAAGTGAGACACTCAGAGGCTAGTCTCCACCTGCGCTCACCTTCTGTGTGAGGTAGCACATGATGCTGCTACTAGGAAAACCCCAGGACAAAGCACTGTTGACTTTGTCAACAGGATGACAGATTAACAAGGAACTATTTAAGTCTACAGTACTCAGGAATGCAGTATAAAATGCTTAAAAGCAAGTCAGGAAAAACCAAAACCCCGACACTACTCCCTTTCCACCTGGTAGTGAGAGCATCAGGAGGTACAGGCGGTTTCTGGGTAACTCAGAAGCCTGAGGACTTTTCCTCTAGAGTGCTTGGGGGAATTCTTCCTTTAAGTCTAAACTCATCAAGTTAAAATAAACACGGGATAGTTGTCATAAAAGCCACCATTATTCTCACAGCCCCACACTGAACTTACTCCAGAGAAGCCACCTGACAAAACTAAGAGATGCCCTTTGCCCTTTGTCTTGTATGGGTGTGATTTACAGTCACAGTGAATATCAAGATTTTGTTGAAAGTGTCATCAAACTCTGAAAATAGAAAAGGGGGCCACACTTCAGTTTATAAACATCAAATTACATTTTTAGCTTTCTCTACCCTCAAATTGTGACTCACAGAGTGAGCATTATAAATTCACTGCTTCCCAGAATCTAACACACAAAAAAAATCAACAGCTGAGTAAAAACTGGAGAAAAGTCTTATTAGGCACTGAGAGGCTGAATAAATAAACACAACATTAACCAAACCCAATAAAGCTCACTTCCAGTTCTTGCTTTCTCACTGCACAGCTGGAGGTGTGCACAGCTCCCAGCCAAACACCAACAGACTGGATCACTTAGTGACAGAAAAACTTCTACAAAGGAGAATGCAAAACTACACACTCTTGTATGCAGGACACAACTCACACTAATTACAGCTGCTTATTTACACTGTCCTATTTACACTCCAGGCAGACCTAGTTGATGAGGTTTGTGCTCATGTTGATCTCAGGCAGATCATGTCAACAGTGAGACGTGTCCACCACATCTCATTTCCAAAAAATGGTGGTAGCACAGGATTAGGAGAAGGGAAATCAAATATCATTGGTCAGGTTCAAGATCATACGGGTGTGCCAGGGAGACAGGATCAGGGTAGAGGGCAGAAATGTGGAATTTTGCTTGTTACAGCATCCAGGCCACTACGGTCTATTGATTAACATTGAACATCCATGAATGCCACTTCTAACATCCACTTTCATATTTACAAAATGAGCTTACCACCAGTTGAGTGATTAGGTAAGGCATTCAAGTTCCTTAGCTTAACAAAAGAAGGCAACTTACATCCTAGCAAGCCTCAGGACACATTTTAGAGGGATGCTCTTCCAAGCTGTCCCGCTGTACCCTCTTTAGAATCCCTTACATGGTCAATACAAAGGAAAGACATTTTGAATCCTGTTGATAATCTACACCATGATCCCCAAAAGCTGTATGGGAAGCAGGCGCATCAGAGCACCCAAATCTGGCCAAGGAATGGGGACAACAGTTTACATGTGCTCGTCTTCTTCCAAGATCTCCTCCATGCTAGCAGGGTGAACAAGGACGCCTCACTGTGGGTGCGTGCACCGCCACCGGCGTCTCTGGGGCAGCTGTCTCAGCTGGCTGCTATGCAGTCCACCAGCAGCAGCAGCAGCATGGTAAGCCTCCACTCAAAGCACTCTCAAGTAAGAACAGGAACAAACTAGCCAACACTGTCTTCTCCAGTGTTTCCACGTGACACATACTTTTGGATTTTAAGAGGAGGAAAGCAAAGAATCAGGAGGCTCACATTTTTACCATTCTATGACAATGTTCCAATCACAAATAAAAATTCCACTAAGCCAGTTTTTGTAGGTTTCCTTTAACATTGAAAAGAGCTAGTCATTATTTGTTTTCATTCAAAGAAGTCGGCAGAATTGTAATGATCTTACAGTAATGTGATTCATAAAAACAAAAGTGAACTTTACAACATTAGGGAGGTAGAAACCAAATCCAGGTCTAACACTGTTAGAGACACATACTTAGGAGTCTATTTACGTGGCTAGAATTTACCATCTCAAATGGCCATGGCTGTAAGTGTTTCTACTTACTTTATTAGCTTTGAACACGTTGAGACAATCCAAGTATTTTAAAGCACTTGTCTGAGAACAGAAGTCATGTGGAACAATATACCAGACAATGTCTTAGGATAGATCTGTGCTGCAGACTTTAAATATGCAGATCCATGGAGCCAACTTAGTACAAAAGCACTTATGTGACCAAAGTGCAAAGCCTGTCTGACTAAGCTAAGTTAAGTTAGCTGTGACTGTTCAAGTCCACAGTCTTCAAAGATTAAAGCCTTCTGGTCTACCTCAAAGACCGAACTTCCTTCCATATAATAATTGCTTCCCTCTCACACCTATACAAAAATAAAAACTAGACTAACAAAAACAAGATAAAACAAGTCCTCCTACCACGACTACTTATTTAATTCACATTTCCTTATTTGTTAAGATTTTAAGTATTCAAGCTCAATGACCTACCTAAATGTTCCTTACTGGTTCTTCTAACTGCTTTAACAATATTACTCTGAAATTACATGTATAAGCAATCATTTGCTGACTCTACAGACACAAAACAAACCTAAGGAATGAATCTGAATAGAAAGAATCTAAATGATATTCCTTGCTTCCAAGTATGATGAACTCTGTATGTTTGTTTCAAATAGGAACAATATCAGCTACTACTAAACAAAAAAAAAAGAATCAAGTTAAACAAAATTTTTGGTTAGAAACAATTTGATAGGTAAATTCTAAAAACTGGGACTATTACCTTAAATGACCATATCTAGTATTTTAAAACATGACTTAATACACATTTTAACATTAAATTGTTATAGTTGTATTCCAGGATTATACAGTAAATATATTTTATATTGTCAGGCTATATAAAGAGACAATTTAACTCTAAGTTGTATTCTTCAGAGAAATTATTTCCAATTTCCAATTCAAGAACGTAGACCCCTAGAGACAGTAACTGTCTTGCTCCCTCTTAAGTGGGCACTTCTCTAGAAAAGTCTAGAACACCCTAAGTTACTATGAAGGCAGTGACTGCCATGTCAACAGTAAATGGTTCATTTTACAAAGGTCACACCAAACAAGAATGTTCTTCTAAAATTAACCCTATTAACAAAACTTTTAAAAGATCTCTACAACATCTCATTTCATACTCTGAACCAACAAATGAAAGATGAAAAGTAGTCAGTCATGTCAAATCTGTAACAAGTAATCACATGTAACACGGACTGTGCTGCCAAAGGCTAAAGCCAACTCAACTCTTTCCACTGATGGACAAATCTCTAGCCCGTCACATACTGACAACAGTAACCATATTTTTAACATCACTCTATTTAAAAATAGATTGGTTGTTTAGAGGCATAATTTGTAAAGCAAGATAACCAAATTCAATGAGTGTTAACAAATATTGGCTTTCGGGATTTCTTAGGAAACATCCACAAGCACTGCTCAGCTCCTGGAGAACAATGAGGTCTCTTCTTTACTCGGGCATCTTCAGCGCTGTGACCTCGGGCTTCATTTTAAAGTACTGGTTAAAGCGAACAACAGCATACCTAGTGAAGAAAGAACAAGGAAAGCTCAGAGCTGACCTCAGCCCTTCAGCTTAGCCTGCTGCACCCCTACTGGACACCCCTATGCTGAGCACTTGCCAGCCTGGAAGCTTCTCATGGCTTAAGTGCACGTGGCCTTCAGAGTGCTGCCTGCCACCTCTACTAGAACGACCCAGTCCAGACACACAGCACCTCACAGCTCACATCGTCTTACCCAAGGAAATCAAACTCAATTGTGGAGTACTTGGCTTGGATCAAAGCCCAGAGTCCCCAGAAGAAATGAGAAGCCTTAAAGAGAAGAAAAATGAAGAATTATAAAAACAAATTTTTGTACACAATACAAAATTGTTAATTCTATGCTTTTCATCAATTGCATGCACAGTACTTTCCTTCTTTCTACTTTTTTGGTAAACACTGAACCTAGATCTACAGAGTTACCTATACTCTCTAGCCCCCAAAGTATCTCCTCCCTTCTGTTAATTTTCACACAACAGAGCCAGAACAGAACGTACTGAAGCAAGGTAGTTACTTGGTCATCACTGATGACTCTGTCTACACAGAAAGCAACAAAGACAGAATGACTTGTAAACTGAAGTCTGGTAGTTCCAATAGTCTTTGCCCAGTGCAGAATTTAGCATTCCACATAATATACAGACACAAGTAGTAGTTCACACTCTTCCACCATCTATTTTATTGGCTCCATTATACACATAAATTACAATACTGATTAGCGAGTCTATCTGTGAAACCTGTATCCTAGAACTTAAAACTAATGGATTAAAAATTTTAACATAATTGTGTATATGCCTTACAAAAATTTTGTAAATGATTAGCATTGTGATTTTACATGTTTGTTTGAGTGGCTCCAGTATCTATGTACACCACGTGCATACCTGGTGCCCAGAGTCCAGAAGAGCATTTTAAAACTCCTGGAATTGGAGCTACAGACTGCTGTGTGCCACCATGTAGGTGCTAGGACCAAATGTCAATTCCCTCTTGAAAAGCAGCCTGTGCTCTTAACCTATGGGCCATCTGTCCAGCCCCATTTTCTTTTTTAATTATATTGTGTGTGTGTGTGTGTGTGTGTGTGTGCACGTCTCACACAAGCAGTGTGCATGTACATGGATGTGAAAGAATGATGACAAATTGTAGAACTGTTTTTTCCTTCCATCATATGAGTTCACTAGCTCACAAATAATTTCCATTTAGATATGATATTTTAAAATTCTGTTAATACCAGTCAGCAGCAAGATAGTTCAATAAGGAAAAGAGCTCTGAATCTAATCCCAGGAACCATGACAGAAAGAAAAATCTCCTCCCAAATGCTGTCCCGACTTCCAATGTGTGCACGGACGCACATATGGACACGCGTACGCACATGCACACACAAATGACAAACTAAAATTTTTAATTTTTTTTCTAATTCTGGTACCATGGGGGTGTTCTTCCTAGCTTCTACCACCTACCCACAGCAGCTCCCAGTTATCTGTATGTGGGCACCAGGCATACAAGTGGTACAAAGACATACACACAGGCAAACACTCATACACATTTTTTAATAACAAAAATGAATTTTACTTTCCCAGAAATACTTTACTTTTACTAAAGATGCTCTAAAAAACATAATAATGTTAAAAACCCGATTTTATTTCTGGTATCTCATCTATAGCCAAAGCACCAAAAGCGGCCAGTGAGATCACTCAGTGCAGCAGCTCTGAACCTGTGGTTGAAACACTTTGGGGGTTGAGTGACCCTTCCACAGAAATCACCTAAGACCATCAGAAAACACAGGTTCACAAAAGTAGTAAAATTGCAGTTATGAAGTAGCAATGAAAAACATTTTATGGGTGGGGGTCATCACAACATGAGGAACTGTATTTAAGGGTCACAGCACTGGGAATGTTGAGGACCACTGGCTTAGAGCCAAGCGGCTTGCTACCAACCATGCCGGACAATCTGAGTTTAATATCCAGGAACCATACGGCAGGAGAGAAATATGGCATGAGCATGCCCGTGCCCACACAAAGTAAATAAATACATGAAACGATTGTTTCGGTGTGCAGTGTCAGCCTGAGACTTCAGTGCCTGTCAGTATCAACAGCCACGGAGAAATGCAAATCAGCACAACAGAGATTCTCACTAAGTCAGAGTGCAGTTCTACTGCTGTATGACCCAGCTATGTACACTTCTGGGTATTCACCGCGAGGTCCCATCTTCCATACAACAGAGACTCACAGTAGCCAAATTATGGAACCAATCTAGGTGTCCAAAAGAGGGCTGGACAAAGAAGGTATCGATGGCATGTCTGAAATCATAATGGATGAAGTGACATCAGCTGCAGAACTGACTCAGTTGAGATCATCACGTTACGTGTGTTATCCAGTCTCACAAAGACCAATACTGCATGCTTTCTCATTTGTAGGTCCTACAATTTACACGTACGTAAAATTATGTGATCATGTATGTATTGATGACATAAATAGAAGCAACACTGCTTACAAACAAAAGGACTAATAGAAGGATGAAGGGAAGAGAGATGTAGCATGCTCCAAGTACACACATGTAAAGCTCCAAGTCTAAGTACCGGTCTCTGGCCTCCATCTTTGGAGGCCCCGTCCCTATGCCCGTCAAGCCTTGACCTCTCCCCGGAGGACCAAAATCTTGACCACTCCCCCAGTCTTTTTAAACTGTTTCCCCAGAAAGTTCCCTAGTGGTCTCTCCCCCCACCCCACCCCACTCCCGGTTCCCCTGAGAGCACGGGAATCCCATTAAACCTGGATATTTTTCAATTTGGTTTGTTGTGATTTGGCTTGATTGGGATTTTTGTGTAGGCTGAAAGCTCACATTAGGAAAATTCCTAACATCTTGGAGGTCCCACCAGGTAGGGCGGCCTTTCCGCGTGGCCTAAGGAAAGCCCCCAGTCCACAATCTGAGCTCTCCACACCATGCTAAAACCAGCTCCCAGGCTACAGTGGCGGCGTCTTGATGAGTCCCTTTTAGTTGTCTATGCTATAGGATTTTGGAAAGACCCATTCACACTTAACTTTTGTAGATTATCGGACTCTTGTGGAAGTCGCAGGTCTGCGCCAAGAGTTTGATCTCAGTGGCTAGACCAGGTCCAGCTGAGGTGGACTTTGTTTGCTTTAGGGACTTCTAGCATTCAATTTTCATGACCCCGTTAGGCCTAAGAACTACTGCTGTTTCTGGCCTGCCTCTCAAGGTCAGTCAGATCCCTTGTGTTTAGCCGTGCAAACAGTGAGTGTCTCTCCAGGGAGGACAGAATGATGCACCACCAAACTAACCTTCCTTAAGTCATTTCTGTCAGGCCTTCCTCAGGCTGTGAGAGGCCATGGACTAAAGCCTCGCAATGGCCCTGGGCCTCACACTGCCACCAGCACTAAGGCATAGATCTCAGCAGCAAGCCAGTTTTCCCAAAGACGCCACTGGCATAAAGGGAACCATCGGGAATCTAATGAGAAGTCACGGCTTTCCACTAATTCCCACTTACGCTTTAATCCTAACTGAACTACTAGATTAATCACATTAAAACTCACTCACCATGTTGATCCATAGCTCAACTATAAGGCACATTCCCTATGTGATCTCATTTCCCCCACTTGCTAAGTGTTGTAATTCCAAATGGGGGATTATATTGTGATTTATGAAATAAGCCTCAAATAACATTATTTCCACCATGGAGATCTCAATGACAAGACACAGGGATCCTGCGAGACAGGGCTGAGGACAGATGAAACTGAAACTGTCAACCATGACACCAGGAACCCTCCCCATGATTCTTGCTCCACAGCAATGATGAAAAGAGCAGCTGGAGAAAGACCTTAAACTTGAAGGCAGGAATAACGGTGGGTATTTACTATCCACTCAAACATGTAAAATATGATAAAAGCAGTAATTCCAGCACCTAGGAGGCAGAGGCATGTGGACCTCTGTAAGTTTAAGACCAGCCTGGTCTAAAACCACAACAACAAAACAAAAAATAAAAAGAAAAGAAAACAAAACAAAAAAACAAGCAAATAAGGACAAAAAGAAAGGAAGCTAGCAAGCACAAGTCTCAAAGGGAAGGTCTGTGCACACCTCTACACAGGCCCGACCAGTCTTTCTATTCTGCAGAGAGCACAAAAGGGAAGAGAGCATTCACATAACAGAGGCCAGCAGAATTTTGGTTTAAAAAAAAAAAAAAGAGGGCTTTAGACAAAAGCTAACTAGTATTATTCATGAACAACCAGAAGTTGGCATTAGACTTCACAATATATGAACTTACTATATACTCTTCCTTTTGGAAAACCATACACAAGTTCAGAGAAACTGCTAAATGAGTAATATGATTAGAACAATTAGACAATGAGATGGCTCAGTGAAAAAAGGTGTTCGCCATCAAGCTGGAGAACATGAGTTCAATGTCTGGTCCAATGTGGTGGTGAAAGAACTCATACCTGCAAATTGTCCTCTGTTCTCCACACATGCACACATACACACATTCACACACACACATTCTCACACAACAAAACGTAACAAAATATTTTCAAAAATAATTTTGAAATTTGATGTCTATTATTTGTCCCTTATCTTTTTTCTATCAGAATGTAATAAATGATGTGGGAACAATGGGCACATGGAGACAATAACATTCTTCACCTTGTTTCTTTGCATGTATATATCTGTAAATACAGGTGTGTGGGCACATACACACATGTGTATGTGCATATGTGCAGAGGTCACTGTCTAGAGTGTCTTCCTATCATCTCTCTCCACCTTCTACACTGAGGGAGGATCTATCACTTGAACCCAGAGCTCACCAACTGAGCTAGTCCAGCTAGTTAGATGGTTCCAGGAATCACAGGCACTGGGTCACAGAAAGGCTGCCACACCTACCCAGCTTTTTCACTGGGTGCCGTGGGACCAATCTCTGATCCTAATGCTTGCACAGAGAATACTTTACTCACTGAGGCATTTCTTGAGACTAGAGCCAACCAACTAGACTGGCTGACTGCCCAGCCAGCAGGTCCAGGCAGTCACCTGCCCACCCCTCTCACTAGCACTTGAGTTACAGGTTTATGTCATGCCTACTTTCACAACGGTGCTGGGGATCGCTCACTGAGTCATCTCTGCAGTCCTTGTATAAATGACATTCTGTGACTGTTTGCTGCAGCCAGCATGGCCAACTGCACCTGTAACCACAATACCAGGGAGCCTAGACAACAAGGCTAGAGGACACATGGGGTCACATAAATATATTTAAAATACAATAAGATTTTTGTTTATTTTGGTTTCGTTTAGTTTATTTAAGATAATATAGTTCAGACTGGTCTTCCTTGCTGTATGGCCAATCAGATGATAAACTCTAAATCCCACTGCATCTGCTTCCTAAGAGCTGGAATTGTAGGCGTTTCCCCCTTAAATCATGTGTAAGTTTATTTCTAACTGCACTTTGCTAAGAATTTTAAATAGATATTTTGTTAAGTTTTACCAAAAAATTCTACCTTTTCATTCAAAGTTATAAGCATTTTGAAGGATTTTAAATGCTCAGCATCTGATTAATGAACCATGTACAGATGCAATCCCAGAATCAAAAATAGCATGTGAACATTGCAGGATGTCTGTGGGTGAGTCTCGTTACACATTCGGCAGCCTCATTAGCTGCCCAGCAACTCTACTACATGGGCTTCAGACAGCAGCTATCACGTCTGAACACCTCCTCTCATTTGAGGTGTGCTGAGTGTCTCTGGGGAATCCGTGCTACAAAAGACTATCAACAGTCTAGGTGAGGGCCAGCACTGCAGTCTATCTGAAAAAACAGTACAGTCAATGCTGTGGGAGCACATTCCACTCCTTCAGCCAATAGCATTTAAGATACCAGCCCACTTGGGCGTGGTCTCATACTGTAAATTCAGCTGTAAAGCATGTGCTCTCCTACTTGGGGCTCCTAGACTCTGTTCCTGTTAGCACAGAGGACTGTTATCTAGAACAGTGATCTGTAAGTTTCCTTTTATTATTCATAATTCTAAAGTGGCGTGGGATTATTTTGTGACTTCTGCCTTCAGGTCAATGCTTCCAAAGCCAATTTTGCAAAGTCATATTAAAATCTATAAAGTAGCTGAAGGATTGATCTAGCTACTCAGTAATGTCTTAACATAATCAGCTGCAAGTTATGCTAATGAACTACAACCGTCTCAGAAGATAACAGTATTTTCAAACTAAATGCAGGTAAAGATAAACAAGTAGATAAAACAAAAACAAATATGACCTTAAAGCAAGGAAATAAATTAATTGCCAAACTGTAAGCAATCATGGGTTTTCATTATTCTAAATAACAAAATCCACAAAACTAAAAACTTTTATGAGATGATGAAAATTTAGTTAGTTGCATTAGAAAATTTTCATTGATTCTATTTAAACTTACCAATGCAAATTGATTGACTTGAATGAAGAGTGTCTCTACTTCCTTTTCAGTGACTTCACTGCCAAAGCCTTTATACTCCTTGTAGGCTTCCAGGTAAGCCCGCAGCCACTGGCCCTGGAGTTCTCTATCTGGATAGAGACTATAATCTACGTCACTGACACCTGAGGAGAAACAGACTATGAGAAACTCCCTTCAGCATGCCAAAGTACTACGACCAACTTTTTAACTGAAAAAGTAAAGAAACCTTCCACTTCTGCTAGCACAACCTTACTATTAAACAACAGGCCAGTCGTTCAGAATCCCAGCTAACATCAGACACACAGCTGCTCGTCATCTTAGGACACTGATGCCCTTCCCTACGGAAGGCACACTCTACATCTGCATGCGCCCTGGGTGGTTTTAAGCACTACAGGGTGAGGAGATGAGCAAGCCCAGCCGCTACACAATTTCTGATCCCACTCAGGGTAAACATACTCTTTCTTGAAAACTTTATCCCTAGGTTAAACTGTTAAAAAGTTTCAGAAAATATATTTGCTCCCATTTATCATCCAACTCTGGTATTTTCTATTTCTGCTTTTTTCATTTCTTTTGAAAGGAGAAGTAGAAGGAGGGGAAAAGATGAAGAAGGGAACAAAGAAAAGTAGGTGGGCCATTGCCACAGTCCTATGACCCACCCTAAAGTTTCTACTATTCTTGCCTGGCATTTGGGATTCTTCATAAATATTCTAAACCCACCTCTCTAATGTAACCTTTGCTCTTCCGTCGAGAGCTTTGTATCCTAGTGACAGCAATCTCATTGTGGTAGTTTAAAAAAAAAACAAAACATAAAGGAAAACCGGCACCCAAAGGGAGTGGCACCATTAGGGTATATGGCCTTGTTGAAGAGGGTGTGGTCTTGAGTTACTGTGGAGGTGGGCTTTAAGATCTCACGTATGTTCAAGATACTGCCTAGTGTCTCAGACCACTTCCTGTTGCCTGAAAGATGTAGGACTCTCACTACTTCAGTATCATGTCTACCTGCATGTCATCATGTGGCACCCCGATGATAATGGACTACACCTCTGAAACTAAGCTACCACTTCAATGAAATGCTATTCCTTTGTGGGAGTTGCTATGGCCATGGTGTCTCTTCACAGCAGCAGAAACTCTAACTAAGGCACTCATCTTAATGCTGCCTCCCTCCCTTTTCTTCTACTTGCGTATCCGAATACTACCTAACATTTGAGTTTTAATTCAGCTTTTCCCCACAGAAGTTCTAAGACAATTGTGGCTTCTTCCTTCATAGCTACAACAGTATGCATGTCATGAAAGGGTGATCTCTTTTTTGTAAGTGGAGTAGGGGAGTTCAAGACAGGGTTTCTCTTTACAGCCTGGCTGGCCTTGAACTCAGAGATCCACCTGCCTCTGCCTCCCACGGGCTGGCTTGAAAAGATGAATTCTTATTGTACATAAACCTATTCCTGTCTACGGGACAACGCGTGCACATATGTGCAGCAGCATAGATACAGGCTGCAGCTTATGTATGGTACATCTGGCAGGACTAAGTAACTAGAAACAGAACTTTCACCTAGCCTGCTAATCTGAAATATACAAAAAGACAGGAGTCTATTGCAAGAGCAAGTTCAGTAATAAGATATCCTCGCTAGGAAAGAAAAAAAACACTCAAAGCATTTTCTAATCTTTATTTTCAGAAACATATAGCCATGATAATTACATTTTAATTGTATATTAATTGTAATTAATTTCATCTAAATAAAAATACCTTGTTTTATATGCAATTATAGAAAATTCAGGAGTAAAAAATGTTCAATCTTTTAATAGCTATAATCAAAAAGAAAAAAAAATCCAAAATTTGAGCATTTTGTTAAAAAGCATTTCAAGTGCCATGCTGCTCTGCTGTGCTAGGGATAGAAGGCAGAATCTCTGCACATGTCATAGAGGCGCAGAGCTAAAACCCCAGCCCCAACAATGGCCACCACACGACCAACACCTGGGCTCCTCCCTGCAGTACTAGTGAGTTCTTCTCACACAGGCTATGACCATCCCTTTTGTGCAGTATTTCTGATGGCAAATAACAAAAAAGCTCTTTTCTCCAAGTAAACACAGCCAGCCGTCAAGTCAGAGGGCAGGTGTGCCACTCCCACTCAGGGTCTCATCCTTAAAACAGCCCTGGGAATGACACTGTTAGTAGGAACCCCAACAGTGATGTGTGGGTCTCACCTGCAAATTCATTGAAATGATTTCCAATATCATATGCCAGGTAGTTGTATCCAGAATACTCATAATCAATAAACTGTACGTCACCTATATAAGACACAAAAACAAAGCAGATAAGAAATCACATACATGATCAAAAGATCCCTATGCTACCTGTAATTCAATCCTTTCATACTTGTCTCAATGCGTGTGCTTGGTTACATGCACTTCTGAGACAACACAGGGTGAGGCTGTGAATTTTATGGCAATGAGCTTTACAAAATTCAAATTATATCTCTTGATCAACAGCATTTTGAGAACATATTTTTGTTTAAATGAAAATATAGTCATTTCTGAGTTATAACAGAAGATGTTTCTTACCACATGGGGGCATCAGTAATTTAAAAATTCATGTTTAATGAGAAATAACTCTCTTTGGAAATTGTTAACAGCCTATCTTAACAAAACATCACCTATAACACACTGTATAGCAAGCTTATCTACATATGAAAATCAAACATAAACTCTGAAAACGTGAATCCTGTGACTGACAGTGCTAACACTCACTGAGCAATCTGACGTTATCACCAGTTTAAGAAATGAGTAGGTATGTCAGGCATAATTACATAACTGAGCTTTCCATGTCTCAGGGCTATGCAGCAGCACTTTCACCTTTTAAAGTGAACAATGCTACAGTTTCTAACATTTTTAAGTTTTATTAATTTTTACATGAATTAAAATTAAGATTTCGTGTGTGTGTTGTGTGTGTGAGAGTGAGAGAGAAAGAGAGAAAGAGAGAGAGAGAGAGAGAGAGAGAGAAGCCAATCCTGTTAGCCTTTTTTTAAAAAAATTATTTATTTATATTTTATGCACATTAGTGTTTTGCCATGAGTGTTGGGTCTCCTGGAACTAGAATTACAGACAGTTGTGAGCTGCCATGTGGGTGCTGGGAATTGAACCCGGGTCCTCTGGAAGAACAGTCAGTGCTCTTAACCACTGAGCCATCTCCCCAGCCCCCTGTTAGCCTTTTATAAGTGAATATTACTACTTAGGAATTTTTAATATTTAAGTACTCATTATGGGGGGATTACATGTAAATCTACAAGTTGTATATGCACAAAATAAATAAAATTAGACGCTATTAATTTTGAGAAAAGAAAAAAGCTAATGTACGTTACTGTCTACATTGGAGCAATGTGCACACCATGGAGCTACAGGTAAGGTGGACACAAGAATGACTGAGAGTCATTTCCAGGATGCCCAGGCTGAGAAAACATGTGTCACTCCAACTTTTAACCAGTGACCACAGGTGACAAAACAGACTCCTGGTCTATACAGTGGCATTTCCCAAATAAAACAGCATCAGAATTTTAATGTCTTAATAGACATTTGTATAGCTGATCCAAAAAGTATATTGAGCATATTCAATCACCAGGAAAAAGAAAAACATAATGACCAAAAGATTGTGTGGTAAATGTAAATTTTTTCAGAAAACAATTATATTTAATAAAGTTCTAAAACTCTAAGAATAGCAAGAGGCTGGGGAGTAGCTTGGTGGTGGGGTGCTTGCTTGCCTAGCAGGCACCAGGCTTGGGGTTGATCCTCAACGGGGGGGGGGGGGGGGGATCAAAGTATATTTAAGTTTGCAAAACTGGACACAATATTGTTACAATAAATGTAAGGTTTCTAAGTGTTCCTGAGAACAAACCACACTGCAGTTCAGCCACAAGTGTGACCTGCTGCAAGCCCAGGACTACTGGACAAGCATACCCATAACTAAAGGACCTCACTGAGCAACAGAAGGGACCGGAGCAAGGCTGGCAATGAGAAGTTGCAGATAAGCACCATGCAGGGCAAGTCCTTGACTCACACAAAGCTTTCAAAATTAATAGTTAAAATATGAGTTGTGAATATGGATGCTGAATCAATCAATACATTGTGATGCAATTTATTAAAATATGTCTAAGAAAAGAGAGCATACTGAATACAGAGCAGAGATGAAGTGAAACAAACCCTAACAAAATGCTCAGCTCCTTTTACTACAGGTGATAACAAGAGACTTTCCCTTTACTTTTTTTTTTTTAACTTCTTTACAATGAGTATTTCTGAGGGAAAAATGTTATTCTTAGAATACTATGTATATTCTATACAAAACCGTCAACAAGTAAACTAAATAGAATGGTCCAGAACACGTTCATCCCTCCACCAGCCTTCAAAGCACAGAACACGACATTTACGGAGGTCCACAGCTGAACCAAGCAAGCATGCCTAGCACACAGAACTTTAAATGCTGCTGTTGATGACTCTGGTTCTTTAGCACAACTCCCTGTAGAGCTCATGTTAGTTAAATGCCGATAAAATACACAGCCAGTCCTGAAGCTTACTCTCCACATAAATAACAGCTTCAATTTTCAAAATTACATTTAGAATTTGGCAAATACAGTTAAAATGGCAGGTAAAAACAGACCTGCTTATACACATAATTTAATTAAAACATAAATCATTTTAAGAAAAGTTAAAATCTGCTTCAGCATGAAAAGTTTTAGCAGTGACTTTTGTAGTAGCGTTAACTCATTAACACTGGCCTTTATGTTTAAAATGCTATGTTGAGTTTATAATGAAATCTAAAGATAAGAAAATGAAGCTAACAAAATACAGATGGGGCTGTTACCAGGCTCCGTGCATGTGAACAAGTGAGGCGACAAAGCTCCAGTCAGTGCGTTTAAGAAGCACGGGTGTGCCGCCACATGGCAGCAGCAATGGCATACCTAATCTGTAGCAGATGAAGAGAATTTGGCAAACTCACATTGTACAAGACACAAAGCTTTAAAGGAAAGAAATTTTTAAAAATCTGCATTAACTATTCTTTTCAAGTTATTACAAAGTGGAACTCAACCTTAAATTTAAAATTCTGCAATAATGTAAAATTATAGAGGCCTATTTTAGGGTGCCAGAAAAATCAAATTACAGTATTGGAAATTGCTTTCCTAGCAACAGAAATATGCTACTCTTTATCCAGTAAGTTTATTTTTTATTTCTAATACTCCCCATATTAAGAATGTTCATATCACTATTAATAAATAATTCTTAAGATGAGAATTTAAGAGGTAGACAGAGAGAGAGAACACGCCCTAGAACTGTATGTGCACTCACTCAGTTCCATGGAGGGCTTCTAGATACTCTTAACCTTTAAAAACAATGACTAGCCTAAGGGGTAGCATTGATTTTCATTATCTTAGATAATTACATCAACAACACACATACAAAGCATGATGCAAATAATGAATTTGAATTTTCAAAACTATATTTTTGGGTTTTACTCATTTGAAGCCCTTCACCACAGTAAGAAAAAATCTATAGTTATGTTGTTCAAATCTCAATACAAGAAAAAATCTTCCAATTATGAAAGTGCCTTAAAGCCATAAATGAATAACTACCCAAGGCTAATTATTTGTAACAAGACAATAAATGTCTCAACTTTATTTAAAAATAAAAAAAGAAAGTTAACAAAACGAGAACATGAACACCCTTGCAGCTCACTCTACCTGCTCTGCTGTTAGATACACAAAAACATTGATAAGGGAGAGTACCAACCTGCACGGGAATTCTGCAAAAACATTGTTTGTCTTACACAGAAACAGGCAAGAGGATCTACGCTGGGAAATATCCAGTTCTGCTCTGTATCACCTCCATCAGAGCATAAATCACTCTAAATCTTGGGGTTAGGGATTGGCAATTGCTATGTGACATATAGCCTGGAGGAAGGGACAGAAGGACCCTCCTGGCACACGAGAAGTAGTCAAATGCCGGGAGAAAAATTGAGGTCTACAGAGACACAGTTACATATGAGGAGGGGTTTCAAAAGAAAATTCAAAAAAGAAAAATGCGGTATTTGTAACATTCTCATTCAAGTATGACTCAAATATAGTGGACCTGAACACATGGATTGTAAAAAAAGCTCTACACCTCAGCCTGTGCCCATTCAAACAACCCTAATTAAACTCAGTGGTGCACACACAAAGAGGGGAGGGCTAAAGAAGATAGGGTTCAGCAGGAGTGACAAGAGACTGAGAGAATAATGGAGGGGGGATGACCAAAGAACATTATAAACATGTATGACACTAAGAGCAAAAATGAACATTGAAAACAAAGATCTATAATATCTTAGTCATTGTTCCTTAATAGTTCAGAAATGGTTTGGCTGGTTTTTAAGACATAGTTTTGCTATGCAGCCCTGGCTAGCCTGGTATTCACTATGTAGACAACACAGGTCTCAACACAAGGCAAGCTTTATGCCTCAGCCTCCTGAGAGCTACGTGCCTGACTGGGGTTCAGTTTTACAACTGCCTGCCTAACTTTGGGGTATTTTTTTTTCCTATGCAGTAGTCTAGAACAAATCACTACAGGGTTAGTACTACTCTTCACAGGACATGAGGCTCTCTCCAAGATGGTAAAAATGTTCTACACCTAAGGGCGTTCCAGTTACAGGTTTGCAGACACCTGCCAAATTCACTCAGCAGCAGCTTACAACTCCCTTTTGTTTTTAGAGGCAGGTTCCACTATGCTGCCCAGGTTGATCCTGAGCTTCTCAGGCTCCAGATATCCTACAGCTCAGTTTTGCAAATGGGTGCAATTCCGGAGTACACATCACCACCCTGGGCTCAATGAGCTAAGCCTGACAGAACACTCTAGGGAAACACTAAGCTCTAGAGAGGCTATGCTGCTAAAGAGCTTGAGCATGGAGGCCACTCATGGTAAAATACACAAAAATAAAGCAAGATGGACTGATGGATGGATAAGTGACGTGGGGTGATAAAGCACAAACTTGTCAAATCCAGACTAGGTGGCAGGTACATGGGTAATGACTATACATCAGTCACGTGCTATTTATTTATTAAAAGTTTTTATTTTTATATCTATATTTGTAGATATTTAGATCAAACAATATATATACAGCTTTTATTTGAACAAGTACAATGGTATTCCAAGCAGGTAAGCAAAGGTGTATATGTATGATATATTGGCTTTTATAAGCAAACATGTTTGTATAATTATATACTTATTTCTAGTTGCTTCATCAATAAATGTTTACATTCGTCTATATATGAATTATCTTTCAAATGAAGACAGCATTGTTTTGTTTCTGTTATTTTAGTTTTTTGAAAAGAATCTCAAGTGGTCCTCAGGATGGCCTTGAATTTCTCATCCCCTTTTCTCTACCCTCCAAACTGTCATACCCATATGTGCAATACTGAGGGTGTGTGGCACCTAAAGCTTTGAGTATACTAAGCCAGCAATATGCCAACCAAGTACCACAGGGACAGCTTTGGTGGAGACCTGCCTCAGTCTAACAAGAAGGTGCTAAAGAAAAAAAAAAACAAAAAAAAAAACTCTACAAATCTCCTAACATGTCAGATCTCTTACTTTTTAATATAAAAATATCTTCTAAGTCATTGAAACAACAAAGCTCGGCAGTAGTAAGAACAGAATGGATCTAGCCGGGAGTCAATCAGGTGACTCAGAGTAGTGGTGACTTTCCTACCTGCAGCGCGCAAAACTAAAGAAATCCCAAGAAAAGGTCTTCATTTTCTTCTACTCCTCTGAATTGCCTAAATGCTTACCAACCAACTTCCTGTACTGTACTGAAGAGAAAATGGACAATGATTAACAAAGACACAGTCATCCCCACATGTAGGCTCTTAGGAAGGAATGGGGTGGGGAAAGAATTAACCATCAGAAGGCATCCTCAAACCAAAGAACATTCTGGCAGAAGTAGACATGAAAGCAATCTCACAGCTTCATCAATGGCTGCTGACATGTCAGCAACTAAAGAGTTAGCTATGATCAAAATACTACACTGGAAGTCAGTCAATAAACGACATTCCAGGTTCTTCACACCAAGCCTATGGAAGTCACAATTAACAGAAAACTACATAACGCTGCTCTGCTGCTCTGAAGGGGGAATAACTGCTTTCCATTTTATTATTCCAAAGTCGATCTCATCATTACACACTGCTCACACTTTGGGGAAGGGTGTCACTTCAGTGACAGCCAGAGATGGGCGGACCATTGCTTAATGAACACCTAAACTCTGGGGCTTTCTTAAAACCTCAATATTAATTCATTACAGAAGGACACCTACCTTGTCTTGTGTCCCCTAAGTGCTGTCATCTGACAGTTTGAGCATCACTACAGGGTTAGGAGTCAGTACTACTCTTCATGAGAACATGAGCCCCTCTCCAAGATGGTAGAAATAAATGTTCTACACTTAAGGGTGTTAAGTGTACATTTTTTTTTTCTGTAACTATGCATTTCTGTAACATCTACTCAGGAGAATGCCAAATAAACACTTAAAAACTGAGTGTCACACACACAGGTCACAGTGCTTAAAAGCTACCCTTCATTCTTTTCATCAGATACATTGTATAAAATGCATGCTAGCAACATATATAAGGGCTGGCAAACTATGTACGTATATTAATGCCAAAACCAGCTCATCACATTATTATTTTTAAATGTATGTAGGCACCTCAAAATGATACTGTAAGAATTTACTGTTAGTTTCAAATTTACACTTCTGAAAAATTAAAAGTTAAAACATACAGCCAAGGCAGCTTGATGATATCAAGGCAGTGCTTTCATCTATCTGACTTCATCCATTGCTTTTATCTATTTGTGTCTCATAAGACAAGCAGAAAACAGTGAGGCCCTGAACCCAAGTTACATGAATGGCCTTGGAGCAAAAGATCAAATGTGTATGTGCGTATAACACAAAACTTAATCCATCATTGTATGTGTAAGCTATCTTCCCTTCATATATCTTTCCTTCATATGCTGCAGTAAAGGAAGCAGACAGCTAAGATGTGTAGTCTACATTGCCCTTTCTCTTTTGTCTTGCCTTCCTTTTTTGCTTGTGCACCTAGCCTTTAATGGCTGAGCAATCTCTCTGCTCCCACTCCCATGTGTCTGTTGTGTATCTGTCTTGTGTGTGTTTTTGTATGTGTGCACACACACACGCACACGTGCACCTTTTCCAGAGACAGAGCCTCACTATGTAGTCCTGGCTGTCCTAGAACTCACTAAGTAGACCAGGGTGACCTCAAACTCACAGAGACCTACCTGCCTCTGCCTCCCAAGTGTTATGATTAAAAACGTATGCCTGGCTCCCACACTAGACTTTCTAAGATCACCTCTGGAGTGTCAAAGGAATGCTCCAGAGACAAATGCATCATTTCTTATGCCTTAAGCTTACCAAATTGTTGGAATAAAGCATGGTTTCTTCTATTTTAACTATAAATTCAAACAATTCATTATGGTTTCATTATCTCAAAACTACCAGCTCCTCACCTGAAACACCATCAAAGGATAGTAACAGTGTAACTTCTGGTCAGATGTTCATTAATTGAACAGTCTAATCACAGTGTGCATTAAATACTAACAGAAATCTTACAAGGGGATGCTACAAGATCCAATTAGCCTTCTAAAAGACATAAAACAACTCACTGATAAAGGGAAAATGTACACACAGCCTTCCATTACTAACACTCAAACACCCACAAAGACGAGGAGCAAGCAATACGACATGGACTCCTACTGGAAGGAGAGGGACAGAGAGACATGGAAGACCTCTAACGCCAAATTACAGTCTAATTGCTCTCTGTGAAATAGAAGCACTTTACATGTAAATTATCAGCAGCTGGGGTTGATAACTGTTTAAATGAAAAGTACCTATGACAGAGTAATCTGATTTTTTTGGTCCCTTATTTTTTTAGTTTTATAAACAAGTTTGTTTTATGAAATGAATATGTAAAAGAAACATAAAAATAAAAATATGACAAGTTAAAATTATATTCCAAAGAAGTAACAAATTCCCTTTAACTTGCAGTTAAAAATAAAGCTGAGTGTCCACTTCAAATGTAAGATGAAGTCCCTTACTTGAAACTGCATTACGTACATGTGTTATCAAGCCTTGCACTCAACCTGGGCTAGCACACTCTTTAGCAAAGCTAAGGCTCCTGTCTCACATGGCGTTGAGATCTGGTCACCACTCATTTACCGTAACAACGCGATAATCAGGACAATGACGTGTTAAAAGAAACTGCCAAAGAAGTCACGCTTTAAGGTACACCTAAGATTTAAATAAGGTGATTCCACACAAGAATTAGCATGATTCAAAACAAAGACTAGCTCAGCATTTTTAAAATAATCTCTCATCCATTAAAATTTCAAGTATAAAAGATAAATGTTTTTGAAAATATAGCTTCAGGCCACCGTCCTTGACAGTGTCCGTGCAGCTGCGTTTCAGGTTTAGCCATGAAGACTGACAGCTCTTTCACGACAGCAGCTCTGGCCATGAAGTCACTAACAGTCAATCTAACACACTATGACTAATCAAAAGTAATTCTTTGGCAACAGTATATTCACAAAAGTATTTTTAAATTAAGATATGCTCTTCCAAATACGACTACTTTCTAAATGGGTTTCTTGTAAAAGGCAGCAGCTTCACAGTTTCAAGAACACTTTTCAAATACTAATTTCTTAACATGAATTATACTTTTAAATTTTAAATTAGTATTTCAAGGTGTTTATTGTTTAGTAACCAAACCTCAAACCACTTTACCCAGTGCTCTAATAATGCAACCAGTGACTCTTATACAAACACAGAGAATCAAGGTATGAACAGCCACACAAAAAGTTACACCAAAAGTATCAACTTTTACCTCATAATATTTTAACTCTATTTACCAAGGCTATTGTCTTTACCACTTCATTTGCTATAAATAAGAACAAAATCAGTATTCTCTACTCCTGAGTCTCTCACTGATGTCAGCATATACACAGGAATTAAAAGGCCTGGAGATATTAAATGCTGCTCAACTCACAGCCCTGAGAGGGTTCCCACAGAAACCCAGCAGCGCATAGGAATCTGTTCATTTCCCGCACTCCCCATTACAGCAGACATGCTTTCAAATCTCAAATAGCCAAACAGCTTTTAGAAATATATAGTTATATGTATATATTTATAAATATATACGTATATACACACGCACAATCATTTCATCATTTTACACTTAAAAAGCCAACAGGAACCACCAACTATTTCTAATAAGCCAACATTTAAAGACATTTTATCCATACATATATATCCCTAATAGCAATTACAATAATTTCTATAACTTCAAGAGAAAATCTTTGTGTATGCTTTTAACTCTTGTTTATTGATACAAAGACAGGGAACCATTAAGAGCATACGAGCAATCAACTTACTTACTGCTAAGGTCAAGCACCTACCTTGTTTCTCGTTGTAGATTATATTCTTACACAGCAGGTCATTGTGGCAAAGCACCACAGGTGAGCCCAGGTTGGACAGAATCTCCTTCATCCAGGTCATTTCTGCTTGAAGAAGTTGAGGGCTCGGGATATCACTTAGGAACCTTTCCGTTGTAAAAGAAGAGTTAGAGCTTGTTTATCCAGTTGACACTTCTTTCGAGTTTAAAGTTAGAAATCTACTTCAAATGTTCCCACTGAACAAGCATATACTCCTGATTTCAACAATAGATTCATGTGTTCCAACACCTGAATAAAGGAAACCTTTATAATCCATTTAAATATAAGACAATCACCCTTTAATCCCTGCTGGGATTAAAACAGAGGCAGGTGGACCTCTGAGTTCAAAGCCAACCTGGTCTACAGAGCAAGTTGAAGGACAGTAAGGATTACAGAGAACCCTGTCTCAAAAAACCAAAAATACAGAACAAAAGACAAAACCTCTGACACTACACAGCTGAGGGAGGGACAGTATGAGCAGTTACCAGCCGTAACCTGACATTCTAAACACCGTACATTTGCCACCACTTTACACAGACAAGGGACTGAGACACAATGAATTCATTAAGAGGTCTAACTGTATTATTTAAATTACAGACTGAAAATATTTATTGTAAGCAAAAAAAGGTGAATGCAACAAAAGTTCAATTTTCAGAAAATGCTAGACCAGAGTCTGAAATGGAGACGGCACACTCACATTGCCTAGCTACCTTAATAGCAAAGCTCTAGTTTGCTCAGTGCAGCTGGGATAAAGTTTTGTTTGGATGGTTTTTTGTTTCGGTTTGGTTTGGTCTGGTTCTGTTTTTTTGAGACAGGGTTTCTCTGTAGAGCAGCTCTGTCCTGGATCTCACACTGGAGAGGCTGGCCTTGAACTCAGAGATCCGCCTGCTTCTGCCTCCCAGAGTGCTGGGATTAAAGGTGTGAGGTACCAGTGCCCAGAAGTTTTTGAAAGATCTTTAAAATAGATTTTACAGGGGTTAATAGAAATGTAACTGGGAAAAAAATAAGAACCCAAAAGTAAGGTGTGATATATTTGTATAAATTAGGTTAAAAAAAAAAAACGGATACAAAATAAGGGACCTGGCCCAGCTTGCCAAGAACACCACCAAGGCTCAAACTGCTATTCAAGTACTCCCTGCCAGAGAGCTGCCTGCTCCCTTGTTTCTTCATCCCATGTCTATCAATTACTCCTTACTCCTCAGTTATCTACATGGGAGACTACCAGCACACCCAGCTAATAACCTACAGTATTCTCTTTACAGATGACAACATGGAGCTGAGCACTTGCCAAGGGGACATGAGAGAGACAGTAACTGGCAACTGGGCCAGTCTGGACCCAAAGTCTGCTCCTCCCTGCTCCATTTACATTTATTCTTCGTATGTGTGCAAAGGCCTGTGGCACACTGTGAACTTAAAGATCCTGTGTGTGCAATACATGTATGCAGAAAAATGCACTGTGAACTTAAAGATCCTGTGTGTGCAATACATGTATGCAGATAAGTGTACTGTGAACTTAAAGATCCTGTGTGTGCAATACATGTATGCAGCTAGGTGCACTGTGAACTTAAAGATCCTATGTGTGCATATACATGTATGCAGATAAGTGCACTGTGAACTTAAATATCCAGTGTGTGCATATACATGTATGCAGATAAGTGCACTGTGAACTTAAAGATCCTGCTTGCCTCTGTCATTCTAGAAACAGACTTGCTACACAAAGATGCAGCCTTAATACTTTTAGATAAGACGTAATATTTTCAACTTTTATTTTATTTGTCATCGCAGTATTCATGATATAGATTCTAAAGATTAATCTATAAAAATCTCATATAAAAAATAATGAAATACCATAGGTAGTTTGAACTTGGGAGCCAAGCCGGAAAAGTTAAGATCGCAGAAAGTAAATTTACAACCCGACAATCTGTTATTTAAGTAGACACAGCAAACTAAGACAGCCTAAGTTTTCACAGGCCCAGTGCACACAATCTCTATGGCCAATCATAATTGGTACCACTGTGCCCTTTCGCAATACTCTTTAGAATTATTCCTAGGTATTCTCTATTTGTCTCATCTTCATCATCCCTTTAATATTTTCGGGCCATTTTTTTCAGGGATGGGAGCCTTCAAAGGACAGCGAGGCTATTTCTGTAGAGCCATCTGAGAGCCACTGTAGTAGAGAGAGGAGCAAACCAAATTTTATACAGGCTTTGTTATCCTTCAGTCCTTAAGAAATACAAATACCTTAGTAAATTTACCTTTTATTAATATCTTCATCAGCAAATCCTGTGGGAATGAGGGAGAAGTATTTTCCCATCTTAAGCCATAGGTTAGATTTGGGGATCCAGCCATTGTGTGCATGGATAGCATGGATTTTAGCAAGCTGACGAGCTATTAGCCTGTTTAAAAACAAAACAGCACAAAAGCGTTCAGTACAATAAAGCTGGTCCTCACTGTCACCTTTGTCAGGTGTCCCAACTGTCTTCCCCATCTCTGTGGTCTTCCCTTCTATGCTCCCATTGTAACAGTGATTCTACCTGTCAGGTCAGGGCTGCTTACCACATGCCTGGCCATGCCTGGCCATACCTGGCCGGACTGCTGGGCCTGCACCCTGCTGCAGTGCATCTCCTACCAGGCTGTATGCTAACATCCCTGACACCTGACACCACCCTATTTTTTGATCTATTAAACGTCTGACCTATTAACTTCACATCCTGCTCCTTGGCTACAAATTCCTACTGGCACGCCTCTACTCACGTTAAGGCCAGTGTCTCTTCTCCCTCTGAAAATAACATCGCCACAGTCAAGACACTTAATACGTAAGAACTATTGCAGTGAGTAAACCCAGTAGAAGCAATCCTCAATGGTATTGCTGAAAAACAAATTATTATACCCAAATATCTGGTTTAATGGGTTTGGCTGGGATCTAGTCAATGAATGAGAGCATTTAAAAGCTTCCCTGATAACTTAACATATAAAAATATTTGAGAACTCAAACTAATACACAGAGCATCAAATGTCATAAGCCTGTAATTAAACAAATACCTATGCTAGCAGTTTCTCCCACATTTATTCCTCTTGTCTGACTTGCACCATAGGCAGGCCTCGGACTATGGACTAGGCACCAAAGGATGTCCCTGAACTTCTGATACTTTTATGTATCAGAACACTACTGGGGTTACAGCTGAGAGTCAGCACCCCCAGCTTAGCAGTGCTAGGGAACCAATCCAGGACTTCACACATGTCAGGTGTACACTTTACCAACCGAGCTACATTCCCAGTCTCAGTCATGAATATTCTTGAGTTTTATTCATATGGCTTATATAATACTGATCTTAATCCTAAAACTGTAACCCACTGCATCACTAAATTTAGGAGTACACAGACTGACTTAAGCCTGTGAAAGGAGCAAAGCTCAGGATGATATGGGAGTTCCCTCTGTATGCTGTGAAGGTGTTTTATTGCCATTGGCTAAAAAAGAAGCTGCTTTGGGCCTATGGCAGGGCACAATAGAGCAAGACAGGAACTCTGCTTAGACAGAGACAGAGGAGGAAAAGAAGGCGGAGTCAGGAAGACACCATGTAGCTGTCAAAAGAGTAATATGCCAGCAACAGTAAGCCACAGCCTAGTGGCAATACACAGATTAACAGAAATGGGTTAATTCAAGATGTACAAACTAGCTAAAGATATGCTAGAGTCACTGGCCAAACAGTATTGTAACTAGTATAGTTTGTCTGATTATTTCAGGTCTGGGCAGTCAAAAAAACAAACAAGTAGTCTCCGCCAACACAGGGATATAATACTTGCCCAGGGTGTATGGAGAAACAGAATACAAGTATATCATAGTATGCTTTTAAAGCAATAAACCATAACCTCTTTTGCTGTTTTTTTTTAACTTATTCTCTGTGCTAGTGATCAAACCCAATCAAATATTCCAATACCACCAACCCTTCCTGTTTTTTGTTTTTGTTTTTGTTTTTGAGACAGACCACACTATTATACAAGTTGACTTAGAACTCAATTGTAACCCAGGTTGGCCTTGAACATGTTGCAATCCTCCTGTCTCTGTCTCCAGAGGGCTGGCAAAACAAGCATGAATCACCTTGCTCAGTTTTTGGATTTTTTTTTTAAGATTTCTTTTTTTTTTTCTTTTTCAAGACAGGATTTCTGTGTAATAGCCCTAGCTGTCCTGGAACTAGTTCTGTAGACCAGACTGGCCTCAAACTCAGGTTTGCCTACCTCTGCCTCCTGAGGTCTGAGTGCCTCCTTAGTGCATGCACCACTAAGGCAAGACAAGAATTATTTTGTTTTTAATTTTATGTATATGGATATGTGAATGTGTGGCTATGGACATATAAGTGCCCAGAAGCTAAAGGCGTTGTATCCCCTGGAGCTGGAGTTAAAGGCAGTTTTGTGAGTTGCCTGACATAGGAACCAAACTCAGGTCCCCTACAAGAGGCATGTATTTTTAACCAATGAGTCGTCAACTCCAGCATCAATCAGCTTTTAAAGAAAATTATTTATTTCGTTGTTGATGTTCCTGTGCATGTCACATGTGTACATGTGAGCATTTGAGAAGGAAGAAGTACACACAAGTCTGAAACTTCCTATGAGTTGAGGATGATGACCCTGAACTCCTGATCTCCTGGTTCCACATACCAAGCACAGGTATACTCCATACCAGGAAAGGATCATTCCTATTTCTTCTCTTATTGGGTAAGGCGTCTGGGTTGGCCTCACCCCCTGTTATCTGTTCTGCTTTGCTGAGTGTGGGAATTTGGCTTATCCTTCATTTCTTCCAAGTTCAGTAAAGATGAGAACTTCCATAATCCCTTTTAAAATAATTTATGATTCATACATATTAGTGATTCACACTTGTCTTTCCTGATTTTTGTAGTTTCTTTTCTCTAGTGGTTAATAAAACCTGCTAAGCATTTTAAAATGTCATAAAAGAGTTACAACACAATCTGAAATAAACTGAATAAGAAAGCAAATAGCAAATATACTCCTTGAAACACCAACTAACTCAATTCCTATCAATTTCTTGTTTTGCTTTTTCAGCTTCCTTTTCAAAAACCGATCAATTCAACACATCACTTAATGTAAGCCAGTTGTAACACAATATACTTGAGTTGGGTCGACTCAAGTTGGGTTTCTTGCCGAGACAGAATTTCTCTGTGTAAAAGCCCTAGCTATGCTGGAACTCGCTCTGTAGACCAGGCTGGCCTGGAACTCAAAGGGATCAGCCTGTCTCTGCCTCCCGAGTGCTGGGATTACAGGTGGTGCCACCAGCGCCCAGCTGATGGTTTCTACCAGTACACACTACTCTACCTGCGTGCTGAGTATATGACCTCGATTGCATCACTCACGTAAGTTCTAAAGGAGTAGATCTTAAGTAAAACCATTTTAATCAAACATAATTATAAATTATGTAAGTACTAAAATCAGCTTTGGCAAACCTTTACGTAAAGACTAAGAACTGTAGTCAGCCTTCCATCTCTGTAGGTCCCATATCCATGAACTCAACCAAGCAAAAACAAAATGAGTGAGAAAAAAAATAATCTCACCAAGTTACACCTTGCTACACACCAAGTCCTACACAATCTCCACACAAATACTACTACACAGAAGTACCTTGATGCAGCCTTCCCCGCCCCAGCTGCCTGTTCTCTCTCTGTCCTCCACGCACTATCACATGCTGTGGACCAGACTTATCCACAATGGCAACGGTACTGAACATGTACTCAGATGCTTAAGAGTACAGCCTAACAGCTTTGGAGATGTTCACACTGTGTGTGGAAATAAGTAACACAGACAACTGGAGGTGGAAGGCACACATGTTCTAGATGCCTATCATCTCATACAAGGGGCTCAACTGATCACCCAAACTTGGTCAGTGCAGAGGAGGAAGTTTAAAATCAGTCACTCAATGACATTAAGAAAGAAATTTGTAAACAATCTACTCTTTCCACTTGAAGTTGCTCAAAAAGATTACAGTTTCCTTGGTAAAGAAACCCTGTAGCTGCTGAATTACTATGTAATTGTGACTGCTAAAATGGTAACAGAACAGTCTGTTGGTCTGCACTCACTCTACCTGCCCCCTTCAAGTCTAACAATGTCAAGTTTTCTATGCAGCACAACTAAGCCTGCTTTCCTTTACATTCTATTCTAATGTATAAGGACTTACTCACCCATCAATGGCATTTCTTCAGCACCTACAGGTGGATCAAAAGTTAACGACTGAAATGTTTTTATGCCTTAGTTTCTCATTTACTTAAGCAGGCTTATCAATATCTTATCTCCTAGGATTATTTTACATCAATTTTATTAAAATGGACACTACAAAGTTCCTAAGTAGTCCAGTGTTAGTCTCCAACTTTAGTAAAGAACTCTGATACTTTTAGAATTATACCTGCTACAAAGTTTTACAGTGTAACAAAATAAAATTTAAATATATGTAAATTAATAGTATAAATTAAAAAACAAAAACATTGTTGGGAGTGGTGGGACATACCACTTGGGAGGCAGAGACTGGCGGACCTCTGAGTTCAAGGCAAACCTAGTCTACAGAGCAAGTTCTAGAGTAGTCAGGGCATTTACATAGAGAAATGCTGTCTCAAAAAAACAATAAAGAAAACAAACAACAACAACCTCCCTCCACAAAAAAGAATAAAAATGTATACTGTTTAACAGAATTTCAGGCAGTTTCAGCACAGGCAAATGATTTGGCACACTTCATTTCTAATCAGTTTTCATTTGAAATTTTTTAAAATAAAACCCAGGAACTCCATTCAGGAAGGGTCCGTGTAAGGCTTTTTAACAAGACATCATTTACCGTGCCCACTCTTGTTCTCGCGAGTGTAGCTGAATCTACCTGCAATCACCGTATTGGCAGCTAAAATAAGATGTCCACTTGATATTCTTTATGTTCTAATGTGTTTCAACTTCTAACACAGTAAGATACGGGTAAACATGGATCAGACAATAAAACAGAAGTCTGCTGGGTGTTCAAAAACTAAGTTTCTTGGGGGTAAGGGCACAAGGTCTCATGTAGCCCAGGCTGACATCAAACTCTCTAGGTGGCTGAGGATCTTCCTGGGATTACCTATGTGGACTACCACGCCCAGATGTTAAAAACGCCTAAGAACTTACAAGTGGCCTGAATCTGACTCCAAAAAGACACAGTGAAGGGAGAGAATCCACCCCGGCAAGTTGTCCTGACACTAAAGATGTGCTGCAGCACAAAAACACTCAACCTCGTATCCACACACACCTCTCTCCGCACCACACACACATAGAAGCGTGACCTTAAAAAGTTTAATATATTTCCTTAGTGCATATAATAATATTTTTCTAAGGGAAAAATTTAGAAAAGGCAACTACCTGAAAATAGCTGGGTTGCAGACATGCTGTGGGTCCAAAGCTTCACCTTGTATAAACTCATAGCACAGTCCGTTATTAAAGGTACAGTAGAGCTGAGGTGCACAGCCATGAGCCTGCAGCACACGGAAACTCTTCACTTCTTCATCACGGTCCACTAGCAGCTCAGTCTTGTTGCCATAAATTCTCACCAGAACTACATCTTCCATGGTGTCACCCACGTAGCAGGCAATGAGCTTATTTGTGATCCCATCTGTGAAGAGCTGCCAGGGAAAGCAGAAAAGACAGAGAAATTCGACAATGCAGTTTAAGGATGGGACTACAGATAACTCGGTAGGTGATAAAAGGGTAACTGCAAACACCAAAGGTTTGGAAACAGCTTAGCGGGGATGGCATACACCAATTCCTGGGCTCAATCTCCAAAACCCAGGAAAAACAGAAGAAAAATACCTGCTTTTTAACATCAAAAATCATTTTGGAGAATGTGGGACCACAGCTCAAAAATAAAGTGCTTCCTTATCAGGCAAGCTCTGTGATCCCCAGCTGTACTGAGGAAGGACCTGACAAGCACCACTGAGTTAGTCCACTTGAGAAGATGGACACTCTTGATATGCATGGGTAACAGTATGACAAAAGAGGAGGGAAGACTCAGTGCTTAGAAGCTTAAAAAATTGATAAAAAAAATTGTATTTCTAGTCAGCAAAATGGCTCAGAGGATGAGAGCATTTAACAGCACAACCTGACACAAGAGTTGAATTCCAGAAGCTAGTAGGGAAAGGAGAGCGTAACTGACAGCTGTCCCTGACCTCTGCTCATAGGTTACAGCATGTCTTTACCCACATATACACACAAAATATAATAAGGAGTATTGTCTCAGATATCTAAGAAAGGCCAGGTGTGATGACTCAACATTGCAATATCAGCACTCAGGAGGATCCTGAGTTCAAGGCTAGCCTGGGTTACATAGCAAGCTCCAAGCCAGAGTGAAACCGACTCACATTCTCCCACCTATCCTATAATCCCCCTGCACAAAAAAAAAAAAAAAAAAAAAAAAGATAGTTTTGAGAAGAGGAAAGAAAAAAATGCATGTAATTATACCAAATGCATAAGAACACAGTAATTCACAACACTGCTTGGCCTATTAGCTCAGGTTTCTTAGTTATACTAACTCTTACATCTTAAATTAATCCATTTCTATTAGTCTATGTATTGCCACAAAGCTATGGCTTAACAGAGAGGTTTCAGGTCCTTCTCCTCTGACAGCTACATGGTGTTTCCTTAACTCTGCCTACTCACTCTATATATCTCTTCCAGCCTGGCTATATTCTGCCCTACCATAGGCCAAAGTAGCTTTATTCACTAACCAATAAGAGCAACACATATACAGCAGAATATCCCACCCACATCAAACTAGTTAGTACTTGCTGTGCTAATAGAAAGCTGGTGCAGTCACCCAGACAAAGAGTACATCCTTGTGAAATATAACTAAGACTGGTCATAAAGACCTCAGTTCATCAAGCTTTGGCATCTATATCTGGAGGTACCAATACTTTCAAATGTGTATATGGCAAAACCAGATAGATAAATAATAATTGTTGACAATGAACATGCCACTCAAGTGCTGATTTTCAAAAGAGAGAAAAATGCTTTGATGCAATTGATCAAGGACACCCATAGAACACATACCACATCCAACTGGGCAACCTCCTCTCAAAAGCTGTATGATCTGACCAAATGACTGGCTGGATTATAAAAAGGGCCTCAGTAAGGCCAAAAGCTTAACATTCAAGAGCAGTTTCTCAAATAGTTGGAAGCGAGCTAGACAGAAACAAAATATGCACACAGACCTCCAAGTAGGAAACAGTTAAAGTTAATTTTGTTATTTATCCCAATGTTTACCTGTTTTAGAAATGAATCAAATGCACATTCAAATCATCTGAGAAGTAGACATTAGCTGGGTGGCAACTAAGAAACATGTCAGACTGACAGCAATGAACACTTTGTCAAGCTAGTGTCATGTATCAGCAGCAGAAGTGTGAGTGTCAGTCCACTGCATCCTGGTATTGGTGTCACCACAGCGAGCAAAATGAGCAGTCAGGCGCTGAACAGAACGTGACAGTTGGGAAAGGAGACGAGCCATGCAAGCTTCCAGCCCCTACACAGAACAGATACCTCCTACCACTAGATACCTGCACATATTCCTGTGCTCAGCAGAAAGAACTGTCACCAACCAACAAAAGGCAGACTTACTAGGTTGTTTCTGTCCTCCTAGAAGTTGGCAAGGTGTTATCAATGACTTACATGCTTAAACAGCACACAGACGCACAGGCTGAGTCTGAACGGAAAGATCACCACAGACAGTGACAGGTTCAGCACAGGTCGTGTGGCCTGTGTAAGAAAGTATGACCCATGGCCATACTTGGCCCATGGCCAATTCTACAAGATGAGAAAAGTAGAGAAGACTGCATGAGAGACTGCCTTAGTCTATACACAGCAAAGGGCATATAAGCAAAGTAAGATATAATAGCTAAGCTTAATGTATTAGAAAAGGACAAGTAACTACAAGTGAAGGGTATAAATTAGCGGTATACTATACATCTAACATGCAGATATAGCCTAGATTCGACCCTCCAGGCATTACACACACACACACACACACACACACACACACACACACACACACACGCACACACGCACACGCACACACAAAGGGATCTAGCCTTATGGCTCAACAAGCTAGGAGTAAACTGAGCATGGCAGTTGCGGTGCATACCTGTAAATTTCAGCACTTGGAGGGACCCCAAGTTCAAGAATAGCCCAGGCTACTGGTGAATAAAAAAAAGACAGACTGAAAGAAAGAGAGAAACCAGGAAGCTAAAAAAGGAAGGAAGGAGGGAGGGGAGGGGATGGAAGAGGAAAAAAAAAATAAAGGGAATTAAGATAACGTCTACACAACACATACAACAGATTTTTACACATATATCATTAGGAACAACACTTTTAAATAAAAAACAAATCTCCCAAGCTGATCCTAAAGCTCAGCCAGACACTACAGAGGGAAACAACACAAGTGTCTTCTGAGCAGTCGTGCTCAACAGCATAGGACTGCAATGCCAGACCACCATGAGTCGGAGGCCAACCTGTGCTGACTTTGTCTCAAAAGAAAAAAGATCAAAACTCTTAAACTAATAACCAGTACAAAGACATATAAAAACAATGTGGCATCTCAACTAAGTCTGATTTACTTCAGGAATGCAAAGGTGGTTTCATGTTCGAATTCTCAAAATTAATGCATATACCTCAATAACAAAATAAGAATACGCTGAAAATATTAAGTTTGTCTGTGTTCTAATGTAGCCCAGGTTGGCCTTGCACTATGTGGCCGAGGATGGCCTTGAACTCCACCTCTATTTCCTCACTGCTGAGATTACAGACAGGCCATCATGCCCATCTGTCTCTGGTTTTCTTATTTTTAGTTATGTTATATGAGTGTTCTATGTGCATATATGTCTCTGCACCATGCATGTGTCTAGTGCCTGTACAGGATGAGAAGAGGACATGAGGTCCCCTAGAACTGGAGTACAGATGGTTGTGATCTGCCATGTGGGTGCTAGAAACTGAACCTCATTCCTCTGGAAAAGCAGCAAGAGCTTTCAACCACTAAGCCATCTCTCCAGCCACATCTTATTATCTGAAAGAAAATACATGTGTACACAAACATGTAGTTGTATAAAATTTATACACAGAGAAAGAGCTGTGTATCTGTGAACTCAAACAATCTTGGATCAAAAATATCTGAAGAAAAGAAAGCACACGGGCACTCAATAGAGACTGTGCAGGGCATCAGCACAGTTAAAAGTAGGAGAGAAGAGAAGGCCACACACAGATCAGTTACATCTACGAGGAACCCCAGGACATGCCCACTGAAATCGGAGAGCATGTAGCAAAAAGGAACAGAGCCTCATCTCTGAGGGGCGGAAATTGTTCACTTTTCAATGGTTTATGGTTCTGAACTCAAACGTGGAAATCATCAATTTGTAGGAAGAGAAAACCATGCCGTTGGTAAAGCTGTCCTGTTTATCTAAACCCAGAGTAATGGAACCCACGTAACCCTGATGCTGTCTATGACTCAAATGTCTAGGTCAGCAACACAAGCCCAGTCACTACCTGAGGAAAGAACTGGGACAGAGTGCTGATCCTCAGCACTGAGGGCTGTCCTGTCACAACACTGACAACTGCTAACAGGATTAAAGGTGAGCAGAACCCAGCAGTGATAAGATCAACTGCAGGTAGTCTGGCTGGCGACCTTGCCGCACAAAGCCATCTCAACCTTCTGATTGTTAGGATCACAAGCAGGTCTACATGTGTACTCAACACTTCTACAGGTACTGTGGGTCAAAACTCCAAGCCATACTTAACACAGCATGCATTTTAGTTAAGAGCTTTATCGGCTGAGACATCTTCTAGCCCTGATCTTATACTATCTTTTCTTATTTTTTTAAAAAATTGATTGACTTGTGTATAGGTGTTTTGCCTGCAGTGCATGTCTGTGCACATGTGTGTGCCTTGTGCCCACAGGAGGCCAAAAGGCGAGTTTCAGATCCTCTGAGATTAGAGTTATAGACAGCTGTGAGGTGGAATGTGGGTGCTGGGAAAACAAACAAACAAGTGCTCCTAACAGCTGAGCCATCTATCCAGTCCCTCTTAGTCTATCTTAATGCAACTCTTTTTTTTTTCAAAAACTATTTTTAAAATTATCTGTGCACACGCACACACACATAAAGGTCATAAACCAGTCTGCAGGAGTTAATCCTCTCCTTCCAGACACATGGATTCTAGGACTCGAACTCAGTTCATGAGGCTTAGTAGCAAGTAAGCGCCTTCCTCGCCAACTGAGTAATCTAGCCAGCCCTTAACTCAATTTGTAAACTGTTCTGTCAGGGCTGGAGACAGCAGCAGTTAACAGCTGCTCTTCTACTGACAAGAGTTTTGGTCCAGGGATGCAATGTTATCTTGTGCCCTTCACAGGTACCTGTACACACATGCATACACACACAGAAATATGCACAAGGAAAATTAAACTTGTCTCAGCCCACAGTATCTACCCGACATTCTAATAGTGTGTGGTAGTCAGGTTCTTCTAAATTCATCCAAGGTTATCATTTATTCCCCAAGTCACATTTATGCCGGAGTCCCACTGTGGGAGGCATGGAATGCCCTCATGCCCACAGCTCAGCACTGGGGGAACCTGGAATGTTACACA